CTTACAGTTAAGGTAGATTTGTTATTCTCATCAAATCATTTTGATTCTAGTTTAAATACCCATACAGATAGCTTCTGGTCTAATATTATGTCACATTAAGAAAAACATTTTTTAGATGGTCGACAATAAATCAGTTGAATGAGTATATGGCCCTTTCTGTTGGTGATGCTTTTGTCCTTTTCTGCATTGGTATCTCGAAATTGTAGTCATTTTAAAAAATTTAAACCTTCATCTGTGGACTTGTCTTTTAGAAGCTCAACTGATATCCTTTACACTACATGCTAGTCTAAATTCTGGACACGATTTTGGTAACAATCCATGTTTTAAATTTGTGGAAATTAATATATCTGTTTGAAATTTCATTTCATGCCACATTTCTCATTGCATATTGGAGGTGTTATAGATATGATTCGCTGCATGGAACCATGCCTAGCATTTGAAGGCACATGGCCATATTCAAAGACGGGCCCAAAAATTAGAATAGGGAACAGTCCTTTCATGCGATGACCAAATAGAGTAGAACGAGCATACTTTCAGGACATGACAGAATTGATCATATAACATCAGTCGTGGTGATGGCTCCCTTTCCAAAAATTATACCACTTGTTTACAGAAGTTCTAGGTTTACTCATCTGGTTTTCTGCAGGAAATTTAATCCAAGGTAGTCTAAGGTTAGTTTTTGGAGACTTGATATTAGTCCTTGAACCCATGACCTTGAGTTCTTATGGGTCTAATTCCTAGAACTGTCACTAAAACGAATTTTTGTAGAAGTGGTCAGCATAAAGGGTTAATTCTCGTGGAACTACTTCAGCACAGATGATCTGTCTGTCTGGCTGCTCGACCACTTTGTCAATCTTCTTTCTTTTATTCTACCTCCTTTGATTATGGTGGTGGAGAAGTAGCAGTTCTCATGTTCAAGTCACTTTTTCGTTCATGTTTTTATATGACCTCGAATTGAAAGCAAAAAATTAGGAAGGTGTTAAACTGGTACACCCAAGTAGTTTTTTTTTTTTCTTTCTTTCTTTTAAATTGTGAGATTTCTTTTAAGTTTGGAATTTGCTGAAGATAATCCCAGTGAAAAAGTGCATGTATTGTATATGCACACAATGGTTATTGTTTGTGATTCTTTCTATTAAGTTCGTAAAAATAGTTGCATTGAATAATAAGAGATAGGTAGATATATGGTATTGATGCTACACTTTCCAATATACTTTTTGAGAATAACCAAATATCATCTTCAGCCTTTTGTCTTTAATGATTGAACCTTTTTATTTCAGTATCAACTTCGGCAAGCCTCCCTGACAGAGAATGACGCATTTGCCTTTTTGAAGGCTGATAGCCATGGAGACTACATTACTTACTCTGCCTTTTGTGAAGCATTACGCCAGGTATGGTTCATTTATGATCTTCCGTATATATAGGCTAGACAAAATCAAGGCATCCCCAGCAGTGTGGATGTAAACCAAATAATGTTCTGTAATCCTACAGCTTCATTTAATCGGCCATCCATATGGACTAAGTGTTGAAGAGACCAAAGACTTGTGGGTGCAAACAGATATTGATGGAAATGGGGTTCTTGACTATAAAGAATTTCAGGTAACTTAACTGTTATAGTAAGTTTTGTTTAATTTGCATTCTGTTATGCGGTATCACTGTGTAATCACCTTTCATAATCCAAATTGCTTTTTGGTACATGGTAATTGCATATAGATAATTTGACTCCACACAGTTGGTATTGGGGGGGGGGGGGGGGGGGAGGGGAAGCAAAGATTAGTCTGCAGGCTCTCTGATATTTTGTATTGGCAGCCCAGGACGTTGGAGGTTTAGAGTGTGAGCAATTTAATCTGTGATTGCTTTAGTAAATGCACTTTTGACTGTAGACGGTGTCCCATTTTGGTAAGAGAGGATACTTTTGTTTTTGTTATCGGATCTTGTCCTCTGCAATTTTTTGGTGCCACAAGAAGACCACATTAACACATGCAAAAATATTAGAAGGACTACATAGACAGATGTTAGATGTAACTCTGATGTTATCTAGTAATGGCATTACAGCAACGAATTTGGAATCCTACATGGTCAGAGCAAAGAGACGAAATAAGCCATGAGGTTTGGAAAGATGATGTTCACGGTACTGAGCAAACCATTGGTTTTGGTGTGAAGAATGCAGTTCTCTTCCCCACGGAAGTAGAGAAAGGAATGTGGCCAGAAGACTATTCTCTTTCAGATCATGCCCGTCTTACCGTGGTGTTTTCACCTGTTAGAATGCCATGTTCTCGGTTGATGGCCTGACATTCCTTTCTTGGGTGCCCATCACTTGGATGCAGCATTTATAAAAGAAGAAACAAGGAAAGCCAGTGATTGGTGAAAGATTCGAAATTTGGTTGATGGACTATTCCATTCACAAGCAGCGGTGAAGAACATTTTTTTATCCTAATGCAGATGTGACTGGTTATTCTTCCACCTTGCTACAATGGGAGTTGATAGCCTACTTCTTTGCAGCACCTAGACGGAAGCTCGGCCTCTCAACCGATAACTGTCAGCAGACGATGCAGTTGGTGTGGCTATCTCATTTAACCTGTCTTGTTTTTAGGCTTCTGCCTTAGAAAAGGAGTATAAAGTAAAAGGGAACACAGAGGACTAAAAAATTGTAGACATTGTACTATGGAGCTTAGTCGCAATCCCCTTCGGTAATAGAATAAGCTTTTCCTTTGAAGAGTTCGTTGTATTTCTGAACGTTCAGTCTCACGTTTTTGGAATGGTGAACATGATGTGTTTATGTATATAATCTTCTCAAATGCTCACAACCATAGAACCCTAAGGTCTGGGCCATATCATGAGCTAATAAAAACACTCTGATGCACGACATAATGCAGGATAGGAGATGATTCATGACAGATTTAGTGGCCGACGAAACATAATAAGCTAGCTGGTGTTTGATAATTCAGTTTCTGAAGCTTAATAAGCCTCCCAAAAACGACCATTAATACAGGATGGGGACGAAGCAAACCCACACCCTAAACCCAACATTCTAACAGATGCTATGGCATTTTTAGGTGATCCTATCCTATATGCGCATTTCCTTAGTTCGGTTAAGTCATTGTGTTGTTACGGTCCTTTGGTTGACAAAAGGGGGAGGAAACAACTAGTGACATCTCTTTAAAGTGGGTCTCGTACAAATGTTGATATTTTTTTAAGTTTAACGGTCAAGACATACAATTTGATTAATCTCTTTTTTATCTAATCAAAGACAGATCATCTGTGTTAGAATTAGAGTATTGATAACCTGAATTGAATGAATTGTCAATACCCAAATTTAAAACATGTGAGTTCATGACCGTAAGAGATTGGTATCGCTTTTAGAGCTACTAGAGAATCGACAATTGCCATGCAAGTATATAATTGAGAGCTAAAATATAGTGACTGTACTTAAAAAAATTGACCAAGTTTTTATAATGGATGATGACTGTTTAAAGAAATTGAAAGTTCTGGAATAATCTAGTGTGTACCTAGTTGATGAGGACACCCACTAATTTAGATGACACCAAGTGACTAGTATTCAATATTTGTTTAATATAAGAAATTCCTTGGGCAAAGGAAAAGTGATAGTTGAAGTTAACGATCGCAATCAATATACTTTTTTCTTTTCATTTTCTGTTGATCTTAAAGTATTATAAAAAATGGAAAAAGAATCAAAATTTAAGCATAACGCCATAAAAATGAAATAAACTACTCAAAATTGATTGAATATTCACTTAGGCAAAGTAAGATTATTCTGTTGATATTATTTTTGCAAACATAATTATTTATAATTCTTTTTTATATTTATAATTTCACTACCAATTAAAGACCTTCTAAATAAATCAACTACTTTAATTTTTTCGGTACCATCAAAATTTTTAAAGATCGTGCACTAAAAATATTTCAAATAGTTCAATATATAACCAATTGGACCCATAATATTTTTAATTTAAATTTAAATAATCAAAGCTCTATCACCTGCTATCGCAAAAATAAATAAATAAATAAATGGGAATCAATAATAGAAAATCATAATAACTAAAGCCAAAAAATTAGAAAAAAAAATTCCCAAAATTGAACTTTTATTATTATCTAATTTTTTAAGAGATCAGTTATTGTACATAATATTTCAAAGAGATTGATACGCGATCAAAGTCATTATCTTTTAAATCAAATCCAAATGATCATAGTTCTATTGTCAACTGTCAGACAAAAGAAATAATAATAATAATAAAATAACCCTAATTATAGTACTAAGTAAATCAAAAAAAATTGCAAAAACTATTGAAATCAAAGAATTTGTTTATGCGATATGTCTCACAATAGTTCTGATAAAATTTCTCATTTTCTTTACAGCTATTCACTCAATGTACTAGACAAACGCTAATTGAATTCAAAAACAAATTGACAAAAGGGGATACAAAAATAGAAAAAAATTGAAAAAATAATATTTACAATCGTGTATAGTTATGTTCATATCTTATTGGGTTTGCACTGTATATCAGTTATGTTTAATAAGAACGAGTTGCATTTTTCTAAGTTTATGTCAAATCGTTTATTTGGAAGATTTAATGGTCTATACGTTATCACTCAAACATACTAAAGTTAAACTTCCCTAATTCTGAGTTAATTTTGTAACATTTTCATGAGCCATATTAAAATTGTGAGCACTATAATACTTAATTAAAATTATCAAAATAAAGAAAATTGGATGCCATTGGCCTATAGAGATCAAGTGTGACCCAAAATAAATATAAATATGTTGGAATTTTAATTAAATGTTTATTTCATTTGAAATCATTAGAATCACTTTATATTTTTTTTTGAGACCTTTTTTTTTTGGGTCAAATTTTGTTGGAGTGGGAACAAATATATATTTTTGATGTTTCATTTCGCTCTGTATCCCCAAATACATAGATGCCAACACATGAACTCTAAACAACGTACAAGTCTATCAAATTTGTGAAAACCCCCCACAAAAAATACATAAGTATCCCTAAATCTTTAACAATATTGTAATAAGGGCAAGATTCTAAAATTTTAAAAATACTAATTACATCCCAAATTTTTAAAAAATTACAGTGGCGGCAGCTGCCCCCAGTGTCCCACTGTGGCTCTGCCCCTGATTGTGGTCCCCATTCGTTTATGCCATCCCCGCCATTTCTTTAATATCGTTAGACGTCCACATCTATAATGTACTAAAAGAATCTTGATGATGATCCACTTGGCTTTTTTTCCCAGTAGACGGACCCGACTTTTCCACATCTTTCTTCTTCGTGTTCACACCATCATGCACTGTAGCAATGCTGCTTCCTTTAGTATTGTAACAGTGAACAACAACAAAAAAAATAAAAAAATAAAAAAATAAAAAAATAAAAATAAATACTTCATTAGAGAAATATTCTATTAATTTTTATATATACATTTGTATATTACTTTTATAATTATTAATCAACTATATATAACAACTTAAAAAAATATGTATTTGTAGCAAAAATAAACACATTTACATATAAAAGTGAAGATAAGTTTGAAAGAGAAATACGACAAAGTATTCAAATTGAAGAATTATAATAAATTAATCTTCAACCTGGAGAAGATGAACGACGGTCAAGTTCCCTAGTCTTAATTGATTAATATTATATAACTTAAAAAACTCAAAAAAAGATGGCTAAAATTTATCAAAATTATAATGATGATTCTATATGCCAAGGGATATTCCAAGCTCGGTGATTAAATTATTTCTTAGAAGATAACCACAAACCAGATGTGTCAATAGACACAGAATTAGGTCTACCACTTTATTTTGTTATTTTTGTAGATAACAATGCCTTAGGAATGACCAATTTGCATCAACCAGTCAATCACAACCTTGGATTCTATAGTCGCCGAATGATCAACTATCTTGCCGTTGGATCTAAGAGTCGCGAATTCAAACTTTACCCATCTCCTCTCTATATAAATACTGGTAAAAATATTTACTAAGAGTCGCGAGTTTGAGTTTTACGCATCTCTTCTTTATATAAATATTGGTAAAAATATTTAACCTCAACCTCGACTCTGGATTTAGCCATATGTCAACATCAAATAGCTTCCAAAGTGAAGGAGCTCCCGCTGACCAGAAAAAAGAAAAGAAGAGAAAAAAAGGTCCTATGGTTGGTATTTTGTAAATTTCCTTGCTCCTTCTCATTTGTCTTATCCTTTGCACCATTTTTATTCTTTTTATTTGAGTCATGTCTTATCATTTTAGAAACTATTTTTCAACATTATTCATTCTCAATTTTTAATCTAATTTTTTTTATTAATTTAATATTACATTTTAATAAATAAATGATTTTATTGGGATGGAAAAGTAGGTTTTTATGGCAAGAAATGTAAAAATAAGAAAACCCCCTTAAGCATATATGTCATCATAAGTGAGAGAAAATGCTTAATTTAACGGTAATAACATATCATTATTGTTAAAGTGAATTCCACTTTCTTACGCGAGTAGTTAGTATATTGTGTAAAAAGAGTGCTTCTTTTTTATTTTTATTTTTAATTCAATGGTAAAAAATGTTCGAACAATTTATACACATTTTAACTAATTCTCTCTTTGGCACTTGTGTGACATCCACTTACTCGCTTATTATTTTTTTATTAAATGATGATTCGCTATTAATGTAATTATATAGTATCCTTGTTATATTACATATTTTCTCCTTTTTAATGGCCATTTGACTATTATTCCTTTACTGTCCTTCACGACCCTTATACTCATTCTCCACTTTACCCCTACATTTTTGTGTGTTATCATTGTAGGTTCCTCATTTTTCACTCAAAGCCCCTAAGGGGTATAATCGGGTTTTGGAGAGGACAATGGCAATTGCGAAATTACGTAAAAGTCTATGACTGAACATCCTACGCGGTATATACACTGAATAAAAGCGCGGGGCCTTTCGTTGTAGTTCCAATTCCCTCTATCAAGTCTTGCAACGCAGCAAACATTTTCCTCCTCTCTCTCTCTCTATCTCTCTCTCTCTCACACACACACAGACACAGTCTCTGATGTTTCCAACCCATTGAATTTTCCCAGAATCTCTCCCTCTGCAATTCCTAGGGTTTTTGACGTACTATTGACCTTATTTGTATTTTTACACTAAAACTAGAGCTGGTGTGTTTACACGTCTCTCTCTCTCTAGTTTTTATTGGTTGATAGATGGCTGTGCCTGTGCCGCCTTTAAACGATTTGCCGGTGGGTTACCGATTCAGTCCTAAAGACGAAGAACTCATCAATCACTTTTTACGACTGAAGATCAACGGTTATGAGAATGCAGACAGCGTTATCCGTGAGGTTGATGTCTGTAAATGTGAACCTTGGGACTTACCTGGTAAATATACTGCTCTTTCCTTCCAGAATCCGATCCCTAGGTTTCTTCACCAACCAGTAATGATTCGATAAAATTATAGTTGCCTAGAATTTATTATGTTACCTATAGATTGATGTTGGTGTAATTAAGTACTCGATCATGATTTCTAAGCGAGTTGAGGGGTAATTGTTGTTGGAATAGATTAAAGTCAAAATACTTATTTCAATTTTCTGAATGCAGATAAGTCGATAGTAGAAACGATCGATAATGAGTGGTTCTTCTTCTGTCCGAAGGATAGGAAGCATCAGAATGGACGGAGATTGAACAGAGCCACGGTGGCAGGGTTCTGGAAGGCGACTGGTAAAGACAGGGTAATCAAGTCTGGTAGAGTGAAGATTGGCTTGAAGAAAACTCTGGTCTTCTACACTGGGCGTGCTCCCAACGGAAAGAGGACTAATTGGTTAATGCACGAATACCGTGCCACTGATAAGGCACTCGATGGCACCCACCCTGGACAGGTTCAATTAACTTTTATAATCTTGTGTTATTAAGTTCGGACACTTAATTTTTTTATTTTTGGATTTTTTTGACTTAGTTCAGTACCTGATTTGTTTTTAGGCATTTAGAGACAGAATTCTGTACATCTATAATCTATAATATAAAAAAACAGGCCAGGCTTCAATTCTGACGGTTCGAATTGTATAGAAGCCTTGGGTAGTTGAATTCCCCCAAATCCATCCCTTCTAACTGACCATATGACTATATGAGAGTCATTTGATGCTGGAAAAATGAATGATGGATTTGGGTTGATCACGCGATGCAAAATCTGCTTCCACGGCTTTTAGGACACTCAGATGTGAACTTTTGCAAGTTGTATGGGCTTGCATTTAGTCGATTTTGGACTGCTCTACATTGCCTCTAATTGTAATGGGAATACTAGCAACTTTTAACATATTCTGATATAGTTTTTTTTTTTGTTTTTTGTTTTTTGGATTTAGTGATTACTATGATTATGCTTCTAAAATTATAAAATCACTCATGATTGACCTTCTAAATTAGCAATTTAGTTTCTTTTATAGATTCTGAATTTGTGTATGCTTTGAAAATCATTTGTACTATGAAGTGGTTTCCCTTGGAAGTCGTGGAGATGCTGATTTCTTCCATGGTCTTATTTTTTATGAGAATTATTCTATGCTTAAGATGATGACACTCTGTTTGTAGCTTTTTGTAGGGCAATGATGTTCAATGTTTAATCGTTTTGGCATTGTATTTGCTTCTGCAGGGTGCATTTGTACTCTGTCGTCTATTTAAGAAGACAGACGAAACTGTTGAAGATTCCAACTGTGAGGACGTTGAACAGATTGTTTCTTCTCCTTCAGTAGTTATATCTCCCCCTGGAGATATACACCCAGAGCCAGTGACTCCAGTGCCGGGTAGAGAAGCTGAAAAGCATCCTTCAATCATTGAAAATACAATACCGGATGCTTCTTTACCTATTGAATGGCAAAGTAATAGTGCTGATGATGCAGCATACCCCGTGTTAGACACAACATCCCTCCCGGTGAGAAGAGGAACTACATTCTAGTTTTATTTGTCAAACTATGTTTTTTCGTAGTTTGACTTGATTATTCTTTCCTGTTTCTTACTTTAGCCGGACACGGAGCTGGAAAAATTGTTGGAAGATTTTTACCCTACGCCAGAACCAGTCTCTTTCCCATTTCCCACGCAGATGCAGGTGGAGCATGGATCTTCTGACTTAGGTGGTCTGTTTACTGGTGACATTGGCAATAACAATAACTTGATGCAGTTTCTAGACGGCGCAAATACACTAGATGATATTAACGAGTTCTTGAACTCAGCCCTACTTTGCTCAGACGAGCATTTCGGTGGAGATGCTGGCAGTAATAGGATTTCAACTGTTGAAACTGAGACCTCCAAGAACATTAACAGATTAGAGGATGGTTCAATTAAGCACAGTGGATCATGCAGCAACTCTGACGCGGAAGGACAGGTAATGGAGGTTAGAGGCTTATGTTTTTTGCAAGGTCACTGCCACATTTGATTTGTGTTCATGTGCAGCTAAATGCCATAAATTTCAATACATTTGGAGAGATCTTATTTTAAGAGAGTTAACCTTGTGTTGCTTTTTTGTACTTCAGATTGAGCCAGGCTTTTATAACGCTGAGTTGCAAGCAGAAAATGTTGAGCGGGAGGTTATTTCACAGATAGATACAGCTTCGGGACCTTACTGGGCACAAGATATATTGAATGATGATCACATCAGAAACATTAGTTTCCTGCCACACAATTATATTTCTGAGGCAAATTCTTTCTCTGGTGTATCTTCTGGCGATCAAATCTCCAGTTTGGTCAATATTGGAGAACCAAGCAGTCAGAGCTACACAGTCTGCAGTGACGATACATTTGAAACTGGCATTAAGAGGAGGACTCGCCAGCCACAAGCTCAACCAAGTTCACAGGACTTTGCAACTCATGGAACTGCTCGAAGAAGAATTCGTTTTCAGATGAAACTTCAAGTTGGACCGGTTCAATGCAGTCTGCCTAGGGATTTGAGTTCCTGTGAAGAAAGGCCTGAAGTAAAACCACCAGGGGCTGAGGTGAGATTTTTTCATGGTGATGCTTACCAACTTTCATAATGCTGCTTCTTGGATTGTGACATCCATGGAATTGGCATGTGCAGGATGAAGAAGCTAACGAGAAGCCTACTTCTGCTACCTCTAGTGCTTCTGCTATCACAGATGAGACTGAGGATATATTCCTGTCTGAATCGAATAACGATGGTAAGAAGGTTGCCCAGGATTTGAGCACAAATGTGAAGTCTGAAGGTGATTTTCCAACAAGCGGCCGCAAAAAGGTTCCCTCTGTGTACTCGAAGACTGCAGCATTCCACTCAATTTTATCATCTCTGTATATGCCTAGGGTACTTTTGGCTTTGGTTTTGTTCATAGCCTTCATTGGCACATGGGGATCATTTAGAATTTGAAGTTGCTTAGAGAAAGAGAGTTTTTTTTTTTGTGTGTATATGTAAACCCTGATTAATGTTTTTATTGGAGATTAGGTTAACACGGATACATTGTTGGGTCTGTTGATATTTTATATGCGTATCTATCAGCTTACGAAGGGGACTTGGGTTAAATTTTGGAGTCTGATTATGTAATGTACAATAACACTTGCCTGATGTCTGTGTATAGTATATTATGTTAAAAGAAATAGAAGGTTTTAGGTCATGACTTCAAAATAACCCTTCCCTTTTTCATGGTTAATTTAAAACCCAAATGAGAGCGCTCAGAACAAAAGTGGCTGCTTGTGACCTCTCAATTGGACGAGGAATATGTAGAGGGTGGCTTAGAATATTTTCATTTGGTCGCCAGTGGCCTTGAGAGAGTGCTAGCGATGTTGCCAAATCCCCCACTTCAATCTCTCGGTACAACGTTGAATTTTGTTCTTCTTATTGTTGTAGGTTACCTTAAACAAGTTGATTCTTTTGTTTTCTGAAGTGTCTCCGTGAATTACAGAAGATGGGTATTTCTCTGATTGCCAAATTTGTGCTCGTTTTGCTTATATTAATGATAATGTTAATGTTAATGTTTATATGTATATCAGTTAGATTAAGAAACTTTACTTCTCTCATGTATTATAAATAAAACTCTTCATGTATATGGTAAAGTACACATATACATCCCTCGCAGCTTCTATGGGTAACTTCCCACTGCCAATGCGGGGCAACTACGATTCTAAGCTCAGCCAACAAAGAAAAAGATTGGTTAGTCTCGATAAGAAGGAAAATTCATGTAAATCCTGAACTTCGATTCGAAGAAACACCAGACCAGTGCTCTTATTGGGAGTGACTGTGAGCTTGACAAACTTGGCATCTCCTATACTTATCCCACTTTACCCCCAAAAAAAGAAACTTTCCCATTTGTCAAAACCGGTTTGGTTGCCCGAATTGGATCTGGCGGGCCTCCCGTAAGTTCTCGCATTGTGAACTAACATGGACGCCCTTCCTCTGTTTGGACCTTTGATGCATAGCGAATTAGAAAAGGCATCATTCCGTTTCGTTTGGTCTTGGCTTGCTTCATTCTACTTGGTCTAGACGGATTAAGATTTTTTAAAAAGCAAGACATGAAGAAGAATGCATAGTTTGGTCGTGCGTAAAAGCTTCTGATGATTAGGTCTTTTGATGCTTAATTGTTATTCTCCGTTTAGTATCAATTAATTTTTATTGTGGTGTTGGTTTGGGGGATGTTGTTTCCTTTGTTTCTAATTATTGATGAACTGAAATAAGGTGGTCATTATATTTTATAACTGCATATTTTAGTACAAAGTAAGTATTATTTGTGAACTAGTTTTCACTAACTTTCATTGCATAGGATCGGAGGTGATGATAGATCAAACGAGTGTCGCAGTCAAACGAGATCTACGATCGAGGGAGCAGAATATGAGCTGCAAGCAGGAGAAAGTTAAAGACTTGGACTTGGACTTGGTGTCCATGTCATTGTTCGGTGTAGGTGATTAAGTTTAAGTTGAAAATTTGTGATTGATGATTACTTTTAATTAGTGATTTGATCGAGTCTAAACACTACATTGGATAATTGTATCAATATAATTGTGTTTTCACAGTATGCATGTTCAACATTATTCTTAAATGTGCAATGGATGTTCCTTTGCCATGATGGTTATAGTTTTGACTATAGATAAAACGCCATCAGCTAACAGCTCAAAGCAAAGATCTTTTCATGGTGTACACACTCTTCTCTCACTTTTTATTTATTTCCTTGGACTATGTGGTTAATATTGATTATTTTATTGTTTGGTTTTCCTTTCACACTAATGCATTAACTAGCCTCTTTGCTTAGGTTAGACGATGGAACCATGGGAAGCCTATAGTTCTGCTGAAGAATTTGCCTATAAGGTTATAGTTATCGCACTCAAATATATCGATATTTCTCTCTTTATTTCATTATTATTTTTTCTTTAAAATCATATAAAATAAACTAAAGTTTTCTAACCTATACGTAACAAATTTCTCACAAGATAAATATACGCTTTTACCCCCATCATATGATAGTCACAAAAAATTATTCCGTCACAAAAAATTATTCCATCACAATAAATCGGTGAATTTTGATGTAAAGACTTGATTGTTGCAATTGAAATTTTAAGGGTCAAATTAAAATTAGGTACATAGTTAGGGTGAAAATTGTAATTTATACCTAAAATTAAATGAGTAATGATTACATATTACGCGTAAGCTTAAGGATCACAATCTAAAACAAATCCAAAACAAAAAAATCATCGACTCACTGTAATACCATAATCTAACTAACATAACGCAACCCTTTCCCAACTATTATTTTTCAAAGTCATCTTCTAATCTGATTCAAGTCATGGTGGTAATCACCACTTTATAGGGTGGTCTGATAAAGTATCGACTAAATTTTTTACTTTGAGATTAGAGGTTAGAGTCCATATTAAAACTTAATAGTTGACCACTCTATTAGTCTAATTAGGTTCATTCTTAAGAGGAGTAATAGGCACGGTCAAAGGCTTCATAATCCTACTAGTAAGGGTTTGCTCTCCTTTGCCCCTATCCCTATTTTACATGAGAAAAAAAAAAAAAAAAAGAGCTTGAGGACCTTATTTAAGGACCTAATGACATGATTTTAATACAATTATTAAATTAGTTGTGAGTTCTAATGTTAGATGAAGCCCACAACCAATCCAATAGTTGTACATCATTAGCTCTCTAAATTTAATCCCCAAATAAGGTCCAAATGGCATTTTCCAAAAAAAAAAAAAAACTGCAGGAAGTGCTGATCTCAAAAAAATATTCAGTACAAATTTGGACCACCAATATAAATAAAAATATAACTAACATGCGGTCATAGTTGGGCAGTCCATATGGAAGATTGGAATGTAGCAGAAAAGCAAGTCAAGTCTCATTTGAACATTGGCCTATAAATTTCGTTGAGTTACGCCACCACCACACCCTCAAACTCCCTCATTGCCAAACTCTTTCCACAAGGAGGACCACGTAGAGATAGCTTGAAGCTGAAGGGTACTTTCAGAGGCATATACGCACGCAGACACAGAGAGAAGATGATGAACGTGGGGATGATGGTAGAGATGTTGGAGGAATACAGGGTGGTGATGACAAGGGTGAGAGAGCAGCTATTCCTTCCAAGGCATATAACTGTTCCGTTTCTGAGGACTCTTCGTTCCGTCGCCACTTCCGCCACCACTCAAGACGCTTCTACTTTCATTGTTTACTTTTGAAGTCTTTATTTTCGACTTTCTGTTATGAACCAATGGTAGAATTTGTTATTAAGTATCGTCTTGCAATGAAAGAGTCTCGAAGAATCTATATACACGTATCTAGTCTCATATTTAACCAATATAAAATCATGATATTCTGTAGTAGATATATTTCTTTGTATCTTGATCAAATCATTCAAGCATATATGTATACCTGCATGGAAATTTGATGCAGTTATTTTCAATAGATTTTTTAGTATTCGTTCCTTTTCTTGGAAATTATTGAAATAAAAACATGCATTCTTTGATGAGATACGATTATACCAACTACTGTCCAAATGAGCTTTAATCTTTAGAATTTAGATCCTTTCAGTTTTAATTTTTGTTGATTTAAGTTCCAATGGTTCATTTTTAAATCTATTCAATTTTAACTTCAATGGGTAGTTCGAGTGGTAACAGTAACGAGTTGTAAATTTATATCCGTGACGTGTTGAACAATATAATAGAGAAATAATTATTGTAAATACCGTTACCGTTACCGTACTTCAAGTGATGGAATTGCTCGTATTTATTGTCGTGATGAAGTAATGACAAGTGAATTAGTAGAATTGGAAGAGAGTACCATGGACATCGCTCTAATTTGGAATCAAATAATGTTGGTGTTGTATTAATGGGTGATAATTTGATGATCAAAGAAGGAAGTTTTGTAAAAGCAACCGAAAATTTTGAATTCGAATTTTGGTAATTTTTTGAAGTCAGTTTATGAGGGATTTATTCCTCATGAATATCGTAGTCTCGGCGTGAATGACTTACCTTTAACCGAACCAAAAAGAAAATTAGTTAAGGTACACGTAAGCTGAGCCGATTATTTTTTGCTGTTCATATATCTTTCTCCAATTTTGATCTTGATAAGTTTATAAGATTAAATGACCAATTTATTTTCGAACCATCGATTCGATTGTTTTTCAAGAATGTTGAGTCGGGTATGTGAGGTAGGGGTAATTGGAAACGACATATATCGACAAAATTTAAGTTAAACATGATCCATGTATATATTTATTGGTTTCCAAGTTTGACCTGTAATTACGCAACCATGTTATCGAACACATGTAAACAGTGAAAGATTAGAGCAAGGGTTCCAACTATAACTAACAAAGCATGTTTGGATGTATACTACAAATGAAATAATTGCAAGAGACTTTGAACTTATATCATATATCATTTGGGGTGGACCTACTTAGGCCACCGAGAAAATGATGACCTAAACCTAACTGTCCATTCATGGCCAGCCATAGCTCAGTATCTTACTATGCAAGCATATCTATCTATATGTCTCCCTAGCTAGCAAGAACGAAACGTGACATTTGGTTCTCCTCCACCTACCTAAGAGCCAAAATTAGTCAGTTCTTATGGGTGTTTGTATAAAAGACAATGTAGTGTTTTTTGGATGTAGTACCATGTACAACACTTTGGATCGATGAATTCTACCTAGTATATTTATTCCACTTGAGTAACTTTTGCAACTAGTAATGAAACTGGATTGAAACTCTTGAGATTTGACAAATTTCTGTAAAGAACACAACTAAGCTATTGAGGCGCGGAGCGAGAATTCCATATGAAGGGGCAGTGGCCACTACCTATTGAACAGATCTTGCCATTATATAAATTTTATAAAAAAATTAAGGGGGCAATGTATCATTTTTATAACTACCATGACCTTTTAACATATACATATATATGTGGAGCCCCCCCCCCCCCCCCACCCCCCAAAAAAAAAAAAAACGTAGCTTCGCCTCTAAAGCTAGTGGAAGGTTTGGCACCGAAAGTTAGTAATTTTTCTCTTTCAAAATAACGGATTGAATGTGTAGTTTGTGATGAATTATTGTTAAATATGATCCACAAAATTGGAGCATCTTGATGAGAGTGATCACAAAGTTTAATAACCACCGGATTTCACTTGGGTATGGGCTTGAGATTTACAATTATACCCATCAATGGGATCGAGGAGACTCTTTAAAAAAATAATCTAATTTTCTCTAAGAAGAATACTACTTGAACTTTATTTGTTGATATCATGAATTATAATTGTTAATAGTAAGTCTTAATATTAATTAAAACCCATCATCGATTTAATAATTATAATGCATTAAATAAATAAATATTATTTATAAATTAGGCAAAAATAATATTTTCTTTTCTTTAAAAACCTTTTAGCATGTTAATTACCGCATGGCCGCTGACAATAGTTAAGATTTTAACAAGAGCAAACAGTAAACGCGACTTCATAGGGCTTTCGGCTTTTCAGGAACGGGCCGGGCCGAAAGCAATATCCAAAATTGCAAGGATACCTACACAGTTTTATAAAATTAGTGGGTGCACACTTGTGTTGTACGTAAACTATTTTAAGTGTAAAATATTTATGTATTGAAGCTGTGGAATACTTTCAAAAATAATTAATCAACTTTGTATTCCATATTAGTAACAAATCAACTCTTGTGAGTTTTTTTTACACTTAAACACACATGTATTTTAATTATTTCATTATTTTTTTTGCATATTTGAAATAAGAGTGACTATGATCATTTTTTGATAAATATATATTATTTCAGTACAAAGGAATTAATAGAGTCACTCTACCTAAAACTTGTAATCTTAAGAGATGTTATCTTCGCACTTCAAAATCCAACGCAATCGTTTCGTTTTGTAAGAAATTCCAAGCAAAGTAAAAACCATTTCTTAAGTAATTGAACAAGTTCGAAAAAATTTGTATTTAAGAAGCATGCTTACTATTCGTCGGCATACTCATCATCGCTGTCAAATGTCTAATTATATATGGCAAATTCATAAAAAAACAAAAACATCAATATATCATACTAAATCTAATTTTTAAGCTTTAAAATAAAAAAGGTCAAGATCATAGAAATTCTTAATAGACCAAACCAAAATCATAAAAATATAAATATAAAGCAAACCTAGAGAGTAAAAATGCCAAAAAAATTAAACTCAACATTTTTACAAGGAAAAGGGTTTTTTAGAACTTAATATCAGTCTTAATTTAGTGCTTCTATGATCCTTGCAACCCATGAAATAAATATGATGAAAGAACCAACAGCTAGAGAAAGAGTCGAGGTTAACCATGAAATATGGAAAAGAATTCCTAACTTTTTTGTTGTGTACATATTGAAGATCGCATCAAACCCCGCACAATGTTGCAAAGTACATACTAATCTTGACTCTCTTTACTGCTTTCTTTTGAAGATCTTAAAAACTATCATGGATAGGAATGATGTTGATTAATGGGTCAAAACATAATTATTGTGGATGATAAAAAAAATGTGTTGTTCATTTTCGATAAAGATTTGACAATTTGAGAAGATAAACATAAAAGTCAAACAATTATAACCAAAGAAAAAAATTGGTAGATGAAGGGCTTGGGATGGGAGAGGAAAAGGTTTGTCTTGACATTAGTGTTAATTATCTATTTATTCATTCACATAATTAAGTTTAGAGCAATAGTTTTATCACAAAAGAACATTAAAAGATATAAAATGATATGATTGTCAATACAAGAATAATTACAAGCTGGTGAAAGGAAGGAGAATACGATAGAAGTGCCAATTTATTACCAGAATTGAGAGTTTTTTTTTTTTTTTTCATGTTTTGTAACAGAGAAAAAGATATAAGGACTATGATATTCAATGAATATAAAATATGAATAAAAATAATTTAATTATATTATTTAAGGATAAAAAAGAAAATTAAAATTTTGAAGGATAGTTGACATTTAGAATTCAATATATATATATATATATATATATATATATATATATAGATTTATTCATTTATTTCTAGAATAGAAGTCACCTAAGAGTTAAATTAGAAAATATGATATAATTGTTTTTATATAATTATTCGAGAATAGAAAAGAAAGATAAATTAGTGTGACATTAACTTTGAAAGATAATGATAACATTCTTACAGTTTTAGATGGTAAAATTGGAATAAAATTGTTCTTGATATTTTTAAGTATTATAGGAATAGATATGAATATAAATATAGATATGGATAGATTTCAAAAAAAAAAAAAAAACAAAACGAGAAAGTGGAGTGATAAGTCTGACCCACCAACACTCCTATTCGAACATCGAAGGGGGAGAGGAGGGAGACAGTAGTGCTTGCTCTCTCTGGTCTATGCCTGTTGGTCACCGGTACCTTCTGCCCTTTAATCTCTCCTTTTTTTTTTTGCCAAAAACGCCGTGTAATCTCTTCAATTCTGTTAATTTGGGCATAATACTTGCTCTTTCGCTATCAATCGCATGTATTATCTATTTATCTTTATTTCCCGATTGATATATATGTTGATTGTGTTCAATTGTGGTGGTCTTGTTTTGTTTTTCTCAAGCTGTTTGCTTCTTTATTCTTCATAATTGCGCGATTAGCCTGTAATCTTATCAGATTTTTTTGTGGGTTTTATCAGTTGATTCAATTACATTCTACACAAAGAAATGATGGGTTTGGGGTATTTGGGTCATGGAGGGTCTGCCTCATCGTCGTCCAATTTATCGGCTTTAGCTCCACCTTTTACAGTTGATCGATCCAATTCAAAACTCAATTCAAACCCAATTGTGCATTTGACTGATTCACCATATGCCGCAGCCTTTGATGAAACCTGGCTATATCCCCACTCTACAGCTTCTAGACCTGATTTTGTTTCCAATCTTGACCCGGAAGTCGATTCCCCTAGTCTGCCTCTAACAAATGATTATCGGTACCCGGGTTCTCAGTCTATCAACCCACAAAGTCATTGGTCTATACTAAATCCTACTCCTAAAACTGCGACAGATGCATTTTCCTATCCTGTTGGAGCTAAACCGTATTATCCTCTTTATGTCTCACCAGTTAGTAATGACGATTCTCTATTGGTGGCCCCAAGGAACCTTGTTATGATCCACTGTTGAATTCTGGTGGTGCCCTCATGGATGTATCTCCTCAAGTCGATTACACTCGTAGCTTGTCTCCTTTGGAGTGTACGCCACAGTGGGGTGGCTTTTGGAATGGATTGCCCGATGAGAAGCGGGGTAAGCGTGTAGAACTTGATGGGAGTTTCTACTCAGTGGAGAAGAATATTTCTGGTTCACATGTTTACAAGAATTACATAAATCAAGGTATTGTCCCTTTAAGAATGTAATCATTTGTTGATATTAGCATATTTTGTTGGCCTAAGGTTAATTTATTGTAATGTGTCTCTCTGTTGCCAACATATACTTTTTTCTTCCTTCAAATATGCTCTCCTGTCATGTCCATATTTGCGCCATCTACTTCAGATTTTGTTTATCTCATTGATCGTGGCTTGCCTTTGGGTTGACGCAAGTGTAATGTTGTGCAACCTTGGGTTGTTTTTAATTTCCTTTTTTTGTGGAAGAATATGCTTGTGGTTATCAATTTGTTATCTTTTCCTTGAAAATTAATCGTGTATCAAAAGTGAGATACAAAGTAGTATGAAACCACTTAGCTGTTCTTCGTTTCCTTTTAATGTAATTATTGTAGGTGTAAGAAGTCATTTTAGACTGCCACAACGGGAATTTGCATAACTTGTTCTTCATTTCCGGTGATATAAGCTTTTGTGAGTTAGTCTAATTTTAGCCTCTACTGTTCCACAGTTTGGATTTCGAACTACATGCTTTGGCTTTTGGCCCCATTTTCTAGATCGTTTTTCTTCTGAAACCATGTGCATTGTAAGTAAAAGTAGAAAACTTGTTGAAATTGGAAAATCTCCATTTAACTTAGATTTATGTTTCCAGGCAACCAACCATAACTTTTCATGGTATGTGAAACAGGAGGGAAATTACAAAATACTATCGGTTATGAATGTTTGTGATTTACCTGAGCCATATATTTTGTTTATTATGGTCACCTTGGTCTGGACCTTTCTAAAGCTGTTCTTAAACGTTTTTTCAATTTTCTGTCATAATTCTTGTTGTGCAGGAGTTCATTCTGATGAGGAAAAGAGCAAATATGAAGAAGATTGTGCCATTTCACTGGGAAAATGTACCAATGTTTTTGGAAGAGCAAACCCCGCTGGTTCTTCAAGTACTGTGCAGTTGAATGATAAATCAGTACTCGGGCGAAATCTCAGCTTCTTTCCTTCCAAATCCTCCAAACAATCTACCTTGGGAGCTGGTTCACTACTTCCAGAATCTCATTCATGGCCATCAACTCTAGAATCAGCCACAAATTCATTAAACCATCAAAATACATACAATTCTCATCAGAAATGCCTCCAACCCTTTGATTTGTGTATGAATGATTGCGTGTCGGTGACAAGATCTTCACCTACCGTTGTCATTAGATCACCTGTAATTGGGACAACTACTTCACCACCAAACATAGACATTAAAAATATTGCAGCTGTTACCCATGAAGAATTTGGCAGCCATAATTGCTCAAAAGGAAAGGAGCCTCACCTACCTCTAAGTTCTGATGGCAAAGAAGGTTTCTTGGGTACAAGCCGACTCAGCTGTCACACAGAAACAAATAACCACATCTGTGTTACATTGTCCTCGACAAATGAAGACCTGTCAAACAAGCCACTTCTTAAGGATGCCGTTGATCATAGACCCAAAGCAAGATCTGGATTTCAAGTTCCTGATATAACTGTCCCAGATGGCATCGCCATCGCCTTTGATGGTACTGGGTTCAAGTCTAGTGAGAATTCTTCAGAAAGTTTAGATTCACCCTGCTGGAAAGGTGCTCCAGGCTTTAATTTTTCCCCATTTGAAGTTTTTGAAGCTTCGGCTAAGCAGAGCCGTCCTAAAAAAATAGAAGTTGGTTTAAATCTTCAGGGCACTCAGAGTTTCCCTCACGCTTCCTTTCCAAAATCCTTTGAAAATAGTTTGCACAATCAGAATGGGCATATAGATAATGGTATGTCACTTTTTCCACAGATAACTCCAGATACTAATTGCCTGGTCAAAGAGCACAGGTCAGGCGATGCTGTGAAAGCAGGAGATCAGTGTCCAAAACTGGATGACGGCATAGGAGTTCTATCTTCTGATTTACCCTATGAATCAAAGGGTGAGTGTAACACTAAACCTTCTCACAGTGCGAAAGAGAGTCACGAAGAGGAAGATTTTACATGTACAAAGCTCAAGTTATGTGCTGGTGTTGCAGAGACTCTGATGAATACAAATGATGCCTCAGAAGATGGCCATGTTCCATTCCATGTTGTGGAAAATGTCTTATCATCTTCACCCTCTTCGGGAGAAGATGCTACTAACCTTGCAAAACCTCATGTGATGGAATCAACGCCCAAAATGGGCATTCAATTTGTGGTTAATGTAATGCATGACCTTTCAGAATTGCTTCTATTTTGTTGTTCCAATGATGTGTGGGGACTGAAAAAACAAGATTGTGAAGCCCTTCAGCATGTTATCAACAGACTTGATGCATGCAGGTCAAGGAGGATTATAAATGTGATGCCACCTCAAGAATCACTGTGTCCCCAGCAAGGAGCTTTTCATGAAGTTCCCGAGTCAACTGATCTTCATATGGTGTGTTTTTGGTTTTCTTTATTCTCTTTAAATGTTATATGCAGACAACTGTTTTGGCATATTACAATTTGTTGTCAATATTTCAAATTTGATGGAAATTATTCTGGCATCAAGAATTCACGCACGTGCTATTTAGTTATCATTTACAGTTACAGGTATATATATTCGACAATTTTGTGATTCTATTATATGAATGGCCTACATTCTCTTTTTGTTTAGCTGTTTTCTATTTGATTATTGTTGGTGTAGTTATATTCTTGAATTTTATATTGGATACGGTATTAATTAAGTGATAGGTATCTCTTTTTGCTGTTGCTGTCATAAATGTTGCATTCTTGTCTCTTTTGGTGAATAAAGAACATATTTACATTGGACTTGGTTGATTGTTAATTGATTTCTACATGTACTACAGAGAAATAGTATTTTGATTCTTCTAAACATATATGTTAGCTAAGTAATTTTTTCTCCAGGGTGCCAGTGGAAGCCAGCCTCGGGTGACTAATGAAGCAGCTGCAAATTGGCATGGTGCACTTGATTTTCAACATATGTATGAAGAGAAGAGGGGCAAAAATGTTTCTGGTAAGAAAGTTGAGAAATTTCCAGATTTTGTTTCTTCGAGGGATGAAGAAGTTTCTAAAGATGATAACATGATCCAGGTATGCTATTTCTGCCAGTTCTTCAGTGAGAAAAAAAATACGAAATGATCATAGTTATTCTTGTGAAAGAGAGAAAATAGAGAACTTTCTCATCTTATTTTTTTCATTGGTCATGAATCCCTGACTTGCAGGCTATAAAGAAGATCCTTGATGAGAATTTCCATGACAAGGAAGAAGGGCAGTCACCAACTCTCTTGTATAAGAATCTTTGGCTTGAGGCAGAAGCTGAATTGTGTTCCATTCGTTACAGAGCTCGCCTTGATCGTATGAAAATAAGGATGGACAAAAGCAAGTCAGACACAGAAAAATGTTAGATTCACTTACTTTGAAACTTTTTTTTGCTCACCTTTTATGGTCTCTAATTTTTTTTCTACATCAGGTGTGTCCGAAAATACTACTGTTGAAGAGCAACATTCAAGCGTGGAGGTTTTTCCTAATCCAAACATGCCTAGCACATTAAGATCTGAGGCGAAAGAAAGCCCATCACTGAAAGACCCCATCCAGGATTTTCCTAGTTCTAGCTCAACCAGCCATGTTGATGATGTTGAGGCTTCTGTCATGACCAGATTTAATATCCTAAAATGCCGGGATGACAATACAAATTCCATTAACAGGGCAGAGCAACCACAGGCGAAAGAAAGCCCGTCACTGAAAGACCCCATCCAGGATTTTCCTAGTTCTAGCTCAACCAGCCATGTTGATGAGGTTGAGGCTTCTGTCATGGCCAGATTCAATATCCTAAAATGTCGGGATGACAATACAAATTCCATTAACAGGGCAGAGCAACCACTGCCAGAGGTTGGTGACACTGGATTTGCAGGTAAGAGAAACCATTGGCCATTTACTGAATACCAATCAAAGGATGGATGCTTGGATTTGGCTGTGGGACCGCATCTGGAGCATGAGACTGGCAATGGTAGCAGAGACAAATTTGGGTCGTATAGAGATGGTTCTGAACATCTAATTGTCAGAGAGTTCCGTGCTTGTGTCAAGGATGACTCAGTGATCCAATCTCATATGAACAATAAGTTGGCTGACCAGTTTTTTGCTGGATGGTATGATAACTCTGCATCAGATTGGGAAAATGTGCTGAAGGATGAGTTTGCATTGCCAAAGTGAGGGACATAAGTTGAGGATCTGAGTAGTAGTCCTGAATAGGTAAACAGTTTCTACTTGTTCCCTTTTTGGTCCTAATGGCATTTATAAGTACTAACTGATGTATATTTGTACAAGTAGGAGATAATCTATGAAATTGTAAAAAGCTTTTGAACTCAAACCAGATTTTACACGAGGTACTCTTAATGTCCTTGAATTATCCTCTATTTGCGGTTTCCATGCTCAATGAGGTAGTAATAGTTTGTCTAGTTGAATGGGGTCTGGTACCAGTCAGCTTCCTTCCCTCTTCCCTCTCTCCCCCTCCATATATTGGTGTATGCCAAATTCCTCTTTTTCTTTTAAAGCGGCGGGCATAAGTTGGCTATGTTTAGTAAGAATGATACCCTCTATTTAGTAGGTTTCCTAATGTTCATGCTCTCAATAACGAGTACGCCCTCTTTTCTTAAGTCGAGGAGCATCCGTTTGGTGGTAACACCTAAGTGCCAAGATTTCTTTTTTGGTTAAATAGCAAGCAAACTAAACAGAAGCATGTTCCATGGCCTTAACTCTTCAATTTAGCCTAGCCATGCCCACTTGGAGTCAACAACCATACAATGCAGATACCTAATGGGCAGCTATCACTTCCAACAGATTAACTTGAATATTTGTGTCGAAAAAGAATGTCACTTTAAACGGATACCCAACATAAGCGAAAAACGATCATAGTATAAACCACCAAAATAGTGAAGGTATAGTTGACCAAATAGGTGTAGCTCACATGGTAGTTTGTGCTTGCAAAACAAATATTAAAAGTCAATTGTCTCTCTGACATCAGTTGTAACAAATCATAAAATGAGGAAAAATCAGCAATTGAACATCATGTAAAGCTTTCTTTTCAGATCCAAACAAAACAAAACAAAAACAGGGGGTTCGAAGAATCGAAAATAAAGGTACCCTCATTTCCCAAGGTCATCAACAGAGAACAGCACTTCAAGGTCAACTATAGATCCTACCTAGGTGGTCAACTCCATAATAGCACTAACTATGTCTCCATTATGAGTTTTCAGAGCCTTGACAGCCTTGCTCCTCGACACCCCTGCCTGTGTCATCACCAAATCAATGTCACGAGGCTCCACACCTGTCTCATCAATTTCTTCCTCTTCCTCTTCCTCATCCTCATCTTCCTGTGTTGCAGCGGAGGCGGCAGAAATGTCTGGCTTCGTCATGACAGATCCCATGTCTGGCATCCTGAACTGTTGGGCAGCTTGTGTCTGCAGCTGAGAGCTCAAGTCCTCAATCTTTGCCTCTCCAAATAAAATGTAGGTCTCAGAATTTGGGCTTTTGAATACATCAGGCTTTGATATGAAAAATAAAATCTGCAATACCATTAAATAACAGGTAAAAAGCCAACCATCACAGAAGCCAATCAGTAATACCAAGTAAGAATCACAAGGTGTACATTTTTAGTTCTCTTAATGGTGACCCTACTAACACCAGTAACAGGCTTCATGCCCAGCTTCAACATTGCCTTTCGACTCTTCTTCTCACTTCTGCTCTGTTTCGAACTTTCATTTGTACCTGCACAACATTCTCCAATCAATATAATTTGACAGGCAATCCTAGGAATATTCATTGTAATGTTCCACATTAGAATACCGTTGAACAAAAATAACTGAAAACACAACAAACTCACTCAGGAGCTAACATTCAGAAAGCAACTGCACTCTGCAGCATCAATCAATACAACTTAACAAAGCAGCATTTTTCAGCCAAAAAAGTAAGCTGGCAACCACAAAATTGCATATCCAGGAATAATGGCAAAAAAATGAAATTAATTAAGTGAAGTACCAAAAATCGTGCTGAAGAAAATGCACAAAAAAAATTCTGAGAAAACAAATCAGGTATCCAATGGTTACTGCTATAGATGGTTAATTGTTAATAATATGACGCCACCCTATAGTGATTACAAGCCTCCAGGCCCTCCACCACGCTCACCAACAAAAAAAAAAAAAAATGGGGAGACAGAGGACATCCATTAAGTTTATGAAGTGTTCTTCTACGTCTGCTATACCAGTTCATGAACAGCTAGTCATCATAAGTGGAACAAAACAAACCAAAATCCCTACTCATCTCCTAACTTCCCGGCATGATTCGACTATTAATTCTGCTGTTGGCCCAAAGAACAGATCAAATCCAACAAAATTATCACCACCCCAAATCAACAGAAAACCAATCCTCTTATTATACATACCACATATGCAACATTGTATCATAAGACTACACCAATCAAATGACAAGAAAAATGCTGCTTAATTATATCGAGTATAATATCAAGAGCCTAGAATCGAGAATAGAGAGTGAAGCAACCTTGAGCACCATCCTCCTTGTC